TCAATTTAATGATTATATCAATGTGGTCAAAATGTTAAGAAATAGAGAGTTGAAAGAGAAGGCTAATTTTGTCATTTCATATGTTAAGGGTACATGAATCATTTCATATTTTTGGTAGGGATAACTCAGAAACTTCACCAAGGGCAATTTCGGTCAATAAGTATTAGCACCCTTTTATATTTGGACAATTGGAAAGCTCACCATAACTTTAACCAAAGTTTGGTGCATACTATTTTACCCTTTTAGATAAAGGTGGGAGTCGTGAAAACATAGTGCAGCAATATATAAAAAGAAAAAATATATTTTTAACAAATTTAATATAATTTAATAATATTTGTTTAAATATCTCCGACGAATCTATCTATTGTGATAAGAAGTGAAAATGATTATTAAATTAGTACTTCATTTGTTTAGATGTAAAATATTTTTTAAAATATATATTTTTATTTTTTAGTATTTAATTGTCTTAAAATATTTGTAAAGAAAAATTTTATTGAAATTTAACAAAAATAACATATTCAAGAATATTTATGAATTTTAAGCAAGTTATTTTATATACTCGCTCGATGGAATTGATTTTAACCTCGATGTAAATTTTTACCAAATTTCGAAAATTTAAAAATAAAAAAATATTTTACCTGTAAAAAAAAAAATATTTTCCAAAACCAATATTTTACGTCAAAACAAATGGAAAACGATAAATCACTTGCACATTGGGGTTCGCAAGATCTCATTACATTTATGTTCTATACTATAAAATATAAAAGATTTAAAATAGTGAATTCCCATTACATTACAGATCAAAACAAGAGAATTAAAGATTTAACCTTTCAATATGAGTATAATATGAGTATAGCCGTATTTTTTTTCGCTTTCTAGAAGAAAAATGATGAGTGTATGCGAGTATTTTGAGATGAGAAAAAATTAAAAATCCATTAGCTAGAAATTTAATTCAACATTTACCACAACGGTCCAACCTTTGCTCCCTCAAAAGCTAAAGAATCTACGGTTGTACCTCTATTAAATTTGTTCTCTCAAAAACTTGTAAAGCATAAACAAAATTCTGAAAATATAAATATTAGAATATTCAAATTGTCTTAGAAAGGCAAGTTTATCAACCCATGATTAAATACTTCAATAGAGATCGTAGTTCATTGCTTATTTCCTCTCTCGTATTCCTCAACGCATCTTCATTGTTCATTCCACCATTTGCCCACAGCCCTACAAGAAGAACAATCGTCTCATTCTCTTATCTTATCTTTTCAATTAAGGAAGATGAATATGATAATAATTTTTTGGATGAGATTACAAATTAAAAAAATATTTTGAAAGGTATACAAGCAACGATTTTCGTCTACAATTTTAATTGTCTTAAGAATTATGACATGAATAAACTTTATAAATTTTGCCTCTCGCAAACACGAGAAAACTTTACGATTCTTTACGTGAAAGTTATAAAAGTAATCAATCATTTCATGTCTAAAAAAATCCATAAATGTCAAGAAAAAAAGTGTGGGAGACATAAAAATAGATGTATTGCATGTACTATTTATGTGCATTTATTAATGTTAGTTGAATCCCTTGATAATGTTGGAGAGACAATTTTAGTGATTCAATTGAGGATTCCTCTCAATTGGAAGTCCATATAAATAGAACAATCATACAATACTATATATTTTATATAATAATCATGTAACGTAACGTCGAAACATATAACTTTTGCATGTCTAGATAAATAAAACAATCATATGATACATTTATACGATACAATATATTTATATTCGGTAAGTGATCCTCTACGTGTTAGTTAACCAACCTTGACAGTGCAAACGCTTGTAGATATGTTTATTGGTAACTGATTTGGATTGTTTGGATGATTAATTTGGATTGTTTGTTGATTGATTTGACTTGTTTGGTGATTACCACTTAATTTATTATATTTTTTTTTATTAAGATTTTTTTTTTTTTTTTGGATAAATAAAAAATTGAAGGTTTGCTGTGTGAATTGAGAATTTTATAGATAGAAGATGCGAGATAATTAGAGATTATGGAGGATGCATGTGTGTGTGTGTGTGTGTGTGTGTGTGTGTGTATATATATATATATATAATGAAAGAGTGTTGGTTCACATTTCAACAATATCAGATACTACTATTTATCACTTTCATTGCTAAATGATACAAACATATATATATATATATAGATTTGACCTTTCATTATGCATCCAAAATGAAATCTAGTGGTATTTTTTTTTGCTTTTGAGGAGAGAAAAAAAAAATAAATAAATAAAAAATTATTAACTAGGAATTTAATTGAACATTCACTCCAGCCTCCAATCTAATCAGAGTGGACCCGCTTTGAGTAAATATTATATGGGTTCACCTCTATTAAATTTTTTTTTTTAATCCCTTTCTACCTCCATCAAAATTCGCTCCCTCAAAAGGTTGTATAGCTTCTACCTCTATTAAATTTGCTCCCTCAAAAGCTCGTAAACCATAAAATAAAAAAAATTAAAAAAATAAAAATAAAAACTGAAAAATAGGAAGTTTAGAATGATCAAATTGAGAGGGACGAAGCATTGCTAAAAAAAAATTTCGTAAAATTTTTTGATTCGTAAAAACAAATACTAGAATGAGAGAGACCTGGTTCGGGGGTATCAGAACCCCCGCCATCTCCATCAGGCGTGTGACTAGCCTGCGAAAGTGAATATGATGAATAGAAGGGTTTTGTGCCTCTCCTAGAGTTCGTAGTTCATCTACCTATTCCTCTTCAACATACCTCAATGGAGATCATAGTTCATCGACCCTGTCCTGTCTCGTATCTTTCAATACATCTCCACTGTTCATTGCACCATTTGCAACAGGCTGTAAACCCTACAAAAAAAAAAAAAAAAAAAAAAAAAAAAAAAGACATCGCCTTTATGCAACTTGAAGGCCAATCACCTCTGGTATTTTTGTTTCAATTAAGAAAGAAGAATACGAAGAAAACGATAATACTTTTTCAACACACAATTTTTATTGTCTCAAGAATTTTAATGTGAATAAACTTTACAAATTTGCCTTGTAAATATGAGAAAACCTTACATGAAAGATATAAAAACAATCAATCATTTCATGAATAATAATAATAATAAAAAAACCACAAGTGTCTGAGAGAAACTGTGGAAGACATAAAATAGATGTAGTGTAATATTTATGTGTATGAAGTTGTGAACATATACGGAGACACAAAATAGATGTAGTGTAATATTTATATGTATTAATGTTAGTTGAACCCTAGAAAATTTTGGAGTGTGTTATACTGTTATGCCTTTTTCTTATCTTTATTTATTGTATTTTGTTTTTCCTTTTGGAATGGTTAATCAATGTATAAATACGTAGTAATAAATAACTGTACATAGGCCCACTATAGGTGGAATGGGCCATTCAGGCCGAGCAAAAGTTGATTGAAACCAAAATGAGCAACCCAAATAAGACAATCCCAAACTGGACCTAAGATACTAAGCCCAATGCAAAGAGACATCCAACTTAAAATTGTCCATTTCTGTGTATGTATGTGTCAGTGTGTGTGAATAAATCTGTTCAAAGTATTACCTCTGTGAAAATTCTCAGCGCTTCTTCTTTGCTTCTTGTTTTCATAACATGTAAGGCTGCATCCTGTGATCAAATCAATAGCCACTAAAATTAAAAATAAAACTATAATTTATTTAAAAAAAATATTGAAAATAATAATAATAGCATTACTTACCCTTGCAAATTGAATTTGATTAGAAGTAAGGGCCCGTGGCTCTTTCTCAATTAACAACTCCCCCTCATTTTCAGAGAGTGATTCAATTGATGAGTACTCACTATCACTTCCAACCACTGATTCACTCTCCATTGAAATATAATTAGAAAATTACAGAGAGATAGAGAATCGATACAAAAAATGAGTGAAGATACTTGATATAATCGTCAACGCTGCGAACAGTATAACATAACGTGTCGACATATAACCTCTGCATGTTAGTAACGTGGCGCACTTAATTTAGTGACGTGTCACAAGTTAACACGACCGCTCACGGCGTGTCACAGCATCTGTTTCCCGAAATTGCTTATCAAAAATTGATTTGAGTTTGATCTGGGTTTTTTGTTGATTGATTTGGCTTGTTAGGGTGATTAATTTATTATATATATTCTCATTACACTCGTAGATTTTAAACTAAATTATTAGGGTTGCTAAAGACGGGAGAGAATTAGAGGTTAAGGAGGATGTGCAGTTTTGGGACAGGTACATGGCTCACGGCACAGTTGCGGTGACTGTGCTTGTGGTGGTTTGCAGCCTGGCAGCTGTCATGGTGAGGTGGTTGTGGTGGTGTGCCGCTAGTGAAGGTTAGAAAATTGGAAAGAGAAGATGAGTGTTGTTAAATCATATTTCACCAGTTAGAAATATATTTATCACTTTCATTGCTAAATAAAATATATATATATATATATATATATATCTATATATATAAGAATTAAACTGAACAAAAATTCATTGTATTTAATTCAAAAATAATAATTATTGAAACAAATCAAACAATGACAGAAAAAAAAAAAAAAAAAAAAAAAAAAATTTATTTTTTATTTTTTATTTTTTTTATAATATGAGAATTCAAGTTCAAAGTGTTTTTAATAAATCATAAATTACCTCTGAAAATTCTTCTAATGTACAGCTGCTTGTTTTCATCACATGTAATACTGCTCCTCTCAATGGATGTCTTGTTGCTGCTGCTTCCAATACAAACACATCTTAGTAATGTGGGACGATTATGGTGTACCTTACCAAAAACAGGCTATAAATTGGTAGGAAGCCCACTTAAATGTGGCCCGCATTGTAGATTGGGCCGTCTTAGTGGGTCATGAAGCTTTGACAGCTCATGATCGTCATTGAATGAAAACCCAATCCCTTTTTGGTCATTTTACTTTTTATTTTTTTATTTTTTATTCTCTTGATGCTTAAAATGAAAAAATAAATAAATAAATAAATAATTAAAAGGTGAAATTGAATTGCGAAGAGAGAGAGAGAATAGAGAGTGATTTGAGAGCAGAGAGGCCATGGATGAGTTTGAATTTCAACGCCTTCTTAATCTCTTCCCCGTCGTCCGGCCCCGCGATTACCATGTAAACCCCCCCTCTCTCTTCTCTCTCTTTTAATATATATATATATGTATGTATGTATGCATGCATGTGTTTCAGTATATTCCCTTTCCCTTCCCCTAAATTACTGCTCTTATATAGATTGTGGATTTTTTTCCCTTGATTATTCGGATTATAAAGTATTAAGGACATGATATTAATGATTATCTTGCTTCAAATTTCCAATATAATAATGATTTTTTCTTTTCTGAATATTTTGGGTATTCTGTAGATTTCTGTGATTCCCAATTATTTGATCTTATAAATGCTTAACAACACTAGATGGAGGGTTTGTGTGTGGTGGTGGGTGGTACACAGTAGTAGTAGTATGTAGTAGGAATAGTAATGTGGGAGTTTATTTGATTTGGGTATTTTATCCATTCTAACAATATGTCTAAGTCATTTATATTTGTTTACACTAGTGAGGCACTTTGGATTTAGATAACTAATCCTTCCCTAAAATAAAATTGTGAGCATTTTGAAGGGTGGTATGAAGATAGATCGTGTATGGCGAGCAATCACACTTGGTCTTTAAAAACCAAAGACCCAAAAATTGCATCTTTATAAGTTTCAAGAACTAGCAAAAATGCTTAGTATGCTGTGGAAACTCAAAGCAACTTTTTATGAGAGTCACTACGTTAGATCATGGTAAAATAGCAGCTAATTATAAGAGTCACGTGGGTTGAACATGACAACAACTATAATGCCTTCAATTGATTGGATCTTTAGTATTTGATTTTTAGTCTCTATCAATCCAGAAACCAATAGACGTTGTAGTCATTCTTTTAAGTGATTGGGCAGCATGAAACTCCATTCTAACATCCTTTAAGTTTTATTCGATTTATCCTGTAAATATGTGGAGCAATCTTAGAGACCTCTTACCCTAAAAATTGATTTGCCCCTTAAACTATGTATAAGTCATTATGCTGGTATGGACGAAGGGTCCGTTTAGCATAGCTTTTACTTCTGCTTTTTCGTAGAAGAAAAAGAGAAGCAGAAGATATCACACTTCTATTTGACTCATGTGTTTGTTTGGCAAAATATTTGTTGAAGCACTTATACTACTGAAATAACTATTTTACCCTTATAATGTTTTTTTTTTGTTTTTTTTTTTTTTTGTTTTGTTTTTTGAACTGTTCGATAACATAAAGTAGTAACTCTTTTCTAAACACATAAAAATAAACCAAAAGCTTCAAAAAGTGTGATATTATATTTTGATTTTATTTTATCATTATATCAAATTATGAAATTTAAATGTGTGCGCAAGGTAGAATAATTTCTTCACCTACATTTCATATAAGTAAATAAGGGCCTCAAAAATCAGTTGATAAAATTTCTTATGTCTTAACATACTGGCATTAGATCGGTGAAATTTTATAGAAAGTAATATACTCTAAAACTTTTCATGTACCACTAACTAACAAGTAAAATTGTGCAGAGGCATAATATACCATTTACAAAGTTATTGAAGTAGCACAATATGTCATTCTTCAATCACAATCTTCCAAATTGGTAAGCTCTATTAACAAGGCAATCTTTTTTATATTCCAAAAAATTATATGATGGCAGCTTGGTGTGTCATCTGGCACAAGGAAGGTTTGCTTTCAATTCTCCAGACCAAAAAATTGCAATCCATCCATACTAAATTTCTATTTCACAATTCCATATTAGAAAGTCAACAGAACATGCAACCTCACTGTCTTAATTCATGGAATTTCACAGAATTTAGAACAATAGAATGAAGAGATGGAAGGAATAGTACTAAAAAGTGAAGAAAAAGAAAAAAAAAAAACTACCCCATCAGATTATTGGTTTTTCACTAAACAAGTACTTCATCATAAAAAAAATCTGTCATTTGAAAACCCAACAATAACAAGCACGGCATCTAAAGTAGGTAAAATTAAATATAATGAGGGGAAAAAAATGAAGAAGAAGAAATTGAAACTCCAATGAATGCTCGATCTAAAATAAGTATCATCTGAGCAACGAAACTATGCTTAAATTACATCAATTTGTTAGGAAAAACTGTCTCCAGAGAGAATAATCTGATAGACCATACTTGATGGATAAAAAAAAAAAAAAAAAACTGATAGCCTTTGCTCTAGAGACAATGGAAATTAATGACCAGCTATTCCCCTTTTCTCTCCACACTGATAGCTTCGACTTCAGATTCATCGCACCAATAAAGAATGACATAAATTTAGACCATTAAACCACCAAATTTGCTTCTGATACCGCTAGGCCACTGACCCGTTAGTTACCCAAAATTGAAGAACCAACACAACCCAAGAAAAAAATAAAAATAAAAAAAATAATCACAGGCCCTTGAATATAAGATGGTTTTTCGTTCTTGCTGGAGGCTGCTGAGTGGTCTATATCATAATGTATTGCTGCCGTCATCAAGAGGAAAGCAGAAACCCTAGAAGACAAGAGTTGCCAAATGGTAGGGATATTTATTTGGGATATGCTGGGAACAAACAATGTTTTACTTATAAAACATAGGGTATTATGGGAATTATAAAAGTTTCATTAAAACCAGAAACGGCCTCCCGTGTCCCTCAGGAAGAGCGTTTTGCGAAAGCTACCCTCCCCCAGCTTCAATCAAACGGTCTTCCACAGGCTTGAAGCTCTTCAACATTGCAATCCAAACGCGGCAAAAAATAGCTTTTGAGTCCTAAAAGCCAAAAGCGGCTTTCTAAAAGCCAATCCAAACGGGCCCGAACATGGTACAACCCAAACCATTGGCATTACTTGCACAAAGTGGTTATCCTCAAACTCAAACCTACATTCTTATGCCTGGCATCTGAAACGGCAATGGCAATGCCGCTGTAACAGCGATTCCTTTTTCTTTAAGTAATTTCTCCCATCTCATGGGCGTGAGGCCTGTGACTTAACAGTGGAGTGGACTGGTAGAAGAATGGTTTTGTGGCTAACCAGCTGTTTTCAGATTATGATAAGATTGATCGAGTGGTTAGATGAATTCAGATTATGATAAGATTGAGCGAGTGATTAGATGAATTCAGATTATGATAAGATTGAGCGAGCGGTTAGATGAATTCTAACAATCACCAGCTTTTTTCAGATTTTGATAAGATTGAGCGAATGGTTAGATGAATTATAACAACCTTTTGGAATAAGACTTGACTGGTTGTTACACATGGATGCTAAGCTCTTAGCTTCTGATATGCCCTATTGTGACATAAAATAAAAACTCCATGAATGCATTTTATCAATGAACACAAAATAGGGAAAAAATAAGAAGAAAAATAAATATTTGAGTAAAGCTGGACTGTTTTTATTTTTCTTTGATAAGTTTGAGTAAAGATGGACAGTCATAAGAGGTTGGGCCCCTGTTTCCTGGCCTTTCTACCAAAGCCTAACCCAAATTGATGTTAGGTTGAAGATTTCGAACCGAAGCGCAACCCGATCAATCGGGTTGGGTTGGATTGAGCCCAAACGACTTGTAACCTTACTTCCACGAGGCCCCTTAAAATGAAATACTCCTAATACTGATTAGAGCATTAATCAGTTAAATCCGTCATGCCGACACTGTGCAAGCTGTTAGGATCCTTGTGGACTTGTAATGGTTTTGAATTATATTACATGTTTTGTTACCTAGACTCGGGTACATGTGTCGCGTGCGGGTAATATCCAAGTGTCAGATATATGAAATCCTCAAGCATAGGACACTGGGACACTGCCAAATATTCATATTATTTAATTTTATAGAGTAAAATAATTTCTTTATGCTACTTATCAAAATAATAATAATAATAATAATAATTTCTTTATGCTACATAGTGTTTAATATAGGCATTTAACTCGTTTGGAAGCAATAATATAATAAAATTGAATCATTGCATATGCTTTTTAGGAATGTCCAATAGAAAGTGTTGGACACATATCTTATACCCATGTCGGAGTATAGTGTGTCCAACACAGGTACTTCAACTACTTTTGAAGAGTCCATGTAACATAGGGTACATGGACTCAGATGCGTGTATAGGGTGCGGGTGTGTATGTAAGTGTTAGACTTCCCTACCCAAATCTTACAATATAGGGACTTGGCTTGACATGTGTCTAAAACTTCAGTACAGATACGTGAACAGACATTAAATGTATGACATGTTATCTAATAGTGTAATGATGATATCTTTAAAAATGTTTTCAATTATAATTTGAATTACACATAATGTGGTGAAAAAAATGCAATTCTATCTTAGTTAGTATTAGGAAACCTTCTTTGCCTATAAAATTAAGTTCTTTTTCTCCCATCATCATATATAGAAGATCCAAGTGTCTGAATTTGTATGTGCCTTGGACACATTTCCTACCCATGCCATGTCATGCTGACATGGACACGGGTATGTTAAGGGGAACAGGAGAGTATATGTACCTCAAATATTTTTGGTTGTTCTGTGACATCAATATGTACTGAACTACTGATGAATTTCAGTGTATATTTGTATGAAATATTGTGAATTTTAGTTTACAACAGGTGCCTGCATTGGATCAAGTCCTTGAGCTATTGTAATGCATGTGCTTGCTTGGTCACATCCAAATATTTTGCTTATGGACTTCTAATTATTGGAACTTCCAAGCCTTCTAATTAAACTACATCAATGTTTGTGCTGTCATTGTTCCAGCTGATTCTACAGTACTGAGCACATGTTTGAAGATCATATAAGAGTGTCATTTCTTAACTTGTGGTTTATATTTGCTTCTGAGTTTTAAGTTTCCAATTCTTGTTCTTCGATTTCAGATTGACTTGGATTCTTCAAGACAATCAACTTCTCAATCATCAAAGACTGATGCAGTAATGTGGAAATTGTTTCTTACATCTTTCAGTTGAATATTGTACCTATTCAGTGCTAGTTTGTTAAATTTTGATGTTAAAATTTGTCCCAACAGGCCAAGGAATGGCAAGATGCATGGAATGATGGGAATAGAAAGGAATCTGAAATTGAACAAATGGACAAACATGGTGGGTTGCCGCATCATAATTTATTCTGTGCCAATTTTGATTGATACCGTTTACATAATTAATTGAAAGTAAGAACTTGGCAAGATTTAGGCACCCATTTTTTGTTGTGAAACCATTAATTGAATTGAAAGGCAATTATCCGTCCTTGACTTTTCACAGATTGAGGCTTTTCATTTTAATAATCTGTTGTCAAGAGTTCTTGTCATATATGTCTGTGTGTGTGTGTTTTGTTGTTGGTGGGTAATTTTTTGAAACATTTCATGCTTTCTGCATGTTGAAGTAGAATTTTGCATATCAAAACAATCCTAGTTAGTAGTTAATGGACCTGATCTATGAAGATTCTAAGTGCATACTGTGCTAGCAAGTTCCTTAATCATGATATTCCTGAACTGATTTCCTTTTTCCATTTGGGCACCTAATTCCTTTTCCTCCCTTTCTATTTATCAATTTTTTTCTAAAAGCTTAATAAAGTAAGTAGTGAAAATGGGGTTGATGGCATGGAGGGTATCAGGTAACTTAAATGCAGTTCAATCAGTATTCTCGTATTCATTTCTTGTTGAAATTAAATTAAACATGTGAATGTGAATGTATTCCAACAGATGCATTTTGGGAGAAGCTAAAATTGGCTGCTGAGAAGAAGGTATGCTGGTCTTCACTATCTTATCTAAATATTATACAAATGTTGAACTACATGACATTCTCTGGATGGTTATGACATGTAGATTATTCTAGTACATTCGGAAGTCTACTTTGATAGGATATATGTTATGATTGCCTTGTATTTTCCATGTTCTGATACATGTTCGGAGCACATGTTGACTTTATGTGGTTATGAAATCATTCTGTTGCGTTGTGTGACAGATAGCATGCGTCAATCTTGTCCCTTGTGTAGGAGCTTTTGTAGAATTTATGGAAATGCTGTTGTTTCACTTTCTAAGAGCATATATGCTTATGACTCCGTTTCTTATTAACCTTCACTTTAGGAAGATATTTTCTTTAGTCCTTCTAAATGGAACCACTTGTTGTTAACCTTCTCAGGAGAATGTGTTCCTTTGTTCTTTAAAAAAAATGGAAAACAAGACTGCTTGATTTCCATAGGACATCCAAAAAAGGTCATTACCTAGTGCTGATGCCGTCTTTAGGAACCATATCAAGGGAGAGCTTCTAGCAAAACCATCTCAAAGTGTGAAGAAAAGACTTATATTGGGTGGATATGCCAGTTCTTTATGAAGTGACAGCTATCGGTGAGGGATATTGCCGAGGACAAGCCACACAGTGGAGCATCCCATGAACAAAAATGAGAATCGCCTCCTTTTCTCAGGCCCGGCTTTAGATGCATCTTGGAGGGCTTCCCGAGGATTGATTGTTTCCTCGAGCATTTCCCTTAGAGTTAATACTACCTAAGCAGGGATCATCCATCCCCTTGGCACATTACTTCACTTGCTCGCTATACCTCATCAGGCTTTGTGAGGACATGGAACAGTATGGTGGTTGGTATGTTGCGAGCTACAATCACACTCTTTTCTTGCTTATGTTTCTGTATGAGCACTTCCTAAGATATGTTTTACTAGCCTTTTTACTTTAGTCAGTGAGTACACGTCAGTGATTCTCATGGCGGCTATGATCACAAGGAACACATTATTTGCAGTAATCTTGGAAATAAAGGGGTTCTGATTAAGGCCTTATATGAACCAAAGGTTGGAACTATTGAGATGTCTCTGTTCTTCGAGGGGACTGTACTAATCACACTGGCTTGAGTGTACAATTTATGACTGGTTACTGCTCTGCTGCTTGCTCTTCTAATTGTTAGGACTGGATGCATTCGGGTAATGGGTGAAGCCAGAGGCTTCAAGGTTTCTTATCAACCTCATGTAGTGGTAGACGGTTAGATTTTGACCAGGGAGTCCGGCAGCAGGTTCTGGCAACGTCTAAAATTGAGTCTTATAAGGAGAGTTTTAGGAGGGTTGTTTATGAAGATATGGAACTCCTTACTACAGGGATTTATCAATTTGTCTTTTCGCCAATGATCGGTGAGGCTAGTTTTCACCAGATATTGGCACCAAAACCTCAATTTGTTCCTGAATTTCTCTCGAGGTGCCTTAATCCTGGTGAGGGCAAGGAACATTAGTTTATAAGATAGATCGCTCAAGGTGCCATAGTCCAATAGTGCACCTGCTGCTCTTTGTCCTTCATTACTCTTTGCAATTGAGGGACCTGGTGTCAGCTTGACTTCTTCCGAGGTACCGGTTGTTGCAATGACTGAGGTTGCTGCAAGGAGGAGATTCCAAGGCAAAGGCAGTCATGACTTTGCTGCTGGGATTAAGCATCTGCTCAAATTGCAATTGCAAAGGAGGTAGTGAACAAGAGGTCTCTTAACCAGATACTCATTTCCGGGCTCAAATGCTGCCCTACCACTTGACCTCAAATTCTGAGATCAGCTGGTTTGGGGGACACCATGGCATCCACCCTCCGTTGCATCAAAGTCAATCTGGAACCTTAAGCTTGTTAATTGGAGATATGGGAAAAACTAAGGGGGAAGCAACATGAGGGAATGGGTGGATCCCAACAAATTTTAAAACTCCTAGAGCTGCCAAGAATGAGAGAGAATGAAGAAAGCACACCCTTTTATAGTGTTGAGGATATTGCAACCCTCAGTCTTGAAGAGAAAGGAGGAGTGGGAGGAGGAAATTATCAGGAAGTGTGTCCTCATTTTATACTGGTTAGCCATAATAAATATGGTAGTTGCAGAACCAGCATGAATGCTCACTTGGAATTATGACTTTTGTTCTCCTTGGTGGGAATTATTCACATGTAAGTAATGCATCTGTATAACCAGACATCAGCCTAAAGGGAACCCTAATGTCATTTTATTTAGGCTCCCATCGTTGCTAACGCTTGTAACCAACCGCAACAATAGCAGTCAAGGACAAATTTTCTTTGCCGTTATCCATAGCTTGCCCGAGTTTTTTTTAACTTTATAACTACTGTACTCATGAATCATTCCTGAAACCTAAAATTTAATGAATTGTTGATATTCATTTTTTATTTTTTTGTCTCTTAAAACGTTTGAGACTGAGTCCTTCTTCGGAATTTAAAAGTATAAGGCTACACTTTGGTTCAAAACTCTGATGTTTTGGGTTGGCATCTTTTTCACTTGGATACTCCTGTGTGTTACAGGTGGGCACTGCTGGGGCGGAGAGATTTTGCAAAGCTTTTCAACAAGTTCACAAAAAACTTGTATGCATTTACTCTACTCTAGTCATTATTGCAATTATTGTTTTTCTTAACTCACAGAGAAAGAATCAATTTCTATGATATTTTCAGGTCTATGAGGAATTGAGTTTGGATGCTGCCCGGAGCATTATAAACTCGGAAAAAAGTTCTGGATGATAGTCTCTTGCATGCATTACTTCATTTTCTTCTCGTTTTATGGACTATAGAGAAGATCTTGTTTGTAAGATGGACGTCGTAATATATCCTGGGGCAGATTTTCTGGAAGAGAGATGGAGGTGGGGAAAGGAGGTCATGGGGTTGAAATACATTTTCGAAATATGAAGCAAGTCTCATTTTAACAAATTAATGTTGTTTTTAATATTAAGTGCTGATTAATTGCAAATGTACCAGAAACTCTTTTATCAATTTCCAAAACCTGTTCCTTATTTCTTGCGAACCCATTTTCTTTTTTAAAATAAGATATATACACAATGGAGATGCAATGATATATACACGATTATGTGTACCATGACAAACCTGAGAACCAATGCTACATGGACCTAGACTTTGAAATATATATATATAAAAGTGCGGATTCAGCATTTCTGAATGGAGTGGGTTAATTTTGGATTGGGCTAATTTGAGATGGGCTATCATTAGTAATTTTTTTTTTTTTTGCACTGGACTTAAAGTAGTATGATTTTAATTTTCTCAAGGGTGTATATATATATAGGCACGCATATATCAAAGAGCCGTGATAGACCAACCCAACGGTTCTCCTGAAAAAAGAACCGAACGTGACGTGGCTCTAGCCATGTCATCTCTATCTCTTTGATTTTTTTCTCCCCTTTTTCTTTTTTTTTTCTCTCTCTCTCTCTCTCTCCCTTTAGTTCATCTCGTCGTTCATCATTATTCTCCATGTTAATTAACAGAAAAACTAATAAGAAACCTCTAAAATGAAAACTTGAGATATATTGTTGTAGAAAGTGGGTCCAAATCATTTGATTCCCCTTCACACATCTATAGGATGTTTTCTAGAGAGAAGATCCAAAACTCAGGTAAGGTATTCAGATTCTTCTAATTTATGCATGCATTCATGAAATAATTCAATTTACAGGGTTAGTATTACATCGATAATCCAAGATCAATCAAATTGAATGCAAGTATGATTGGAAGAACCTTCCAACACTATAATTAGGGTTTCAATCTTGTAAGGACGGGTCCATGGATCGGTTAAGCTATATTTCTATCCTGATCTATCAGTAACTCTTCAGTTTTTAATGTATATAAACACAATTTTTGAGTTCTTTGGTTCACGGATTTTCAATTGAACTCAACCAATCAAAAGGGCTTATAGAGATGAATTCCTTGGCATTGGACTAAGATAAAGTCACTTGTGCCTAAATTGGAAGAGAACAAGAGAGAGAGAGAAGAGGAGAGAAAAATGAAGAGAGAGAACGGGAGTCAGGTTTACAGAGAACAGTTTACATAATATGACGCGGCCGATCCACGTCAGGCTCGGTAGTTCTTTCAGTGAAAATTTTCGGTTTCCCTATCATTTTTCTATATCAAATTTTCTTCTCTAATAAGATCACATTGAAACCCTCTATTTTCTTAACAAGTGTACTATCATAAAGGACTATAAAGGTTGCATTTTTAGGTTCAAGACGTTTCAGACATGCATCCGGTGGTACATTACAATATAAAATACTAATATATAGCATTCAGACATATATATATGTATATTCAAATTATAGATAAATGTAGCAAATAGTGCTGATAAATTTCAGGGTATTTGATATATGAAGCAAATATGGTCTGGATACAACTCCCTGAAAATGCATCTGTTCTTCATAGGTATCCCAGGAAGAACATAGGAGTTCAGCAAGACAATGCTGTGTCTGGTGCATCACAACAATTAAGGAAAGAGCACAAGTACACCAACTTTCCGGATAGAGCTCAGCAGTTCTATATCTATTACATGGAGACTATTTGAGAGTCTTCGGCATTCTTGAGCACTCGTTCAAGTATTGGAGGAAGCTCAGAATAAAATGAAAAATAAAAAAGAGCTTCCTGACCTAGATATTTCCCAGGTTTTTAATGTTCAGTGGCGTTTCTTCCCACCACCTTTCTTCTTGCCTTGGTTCTTTTTACCACCCTTTCTCTTGTTCCATTTATCGACTGTAGGTGTGTCCTTAACAGTGTCACTAGAGGCAACAGGTTTCAATAAATGTTTCACGTCCAGCACACCGTTTCTGAAACGACCTTCAGTAGACTTCAGCACTCTGTCCTCAGCCTTGCGCTTGTCAGCGACCTTTTTATTGCCACCGCCAAAATTTCCTCCAAAATGTCCAAGAATTGAACTCTGAAAACTAAACCAGTCAGCAACTCCAGTTTTGCAAAAGACGAGCCATGCAAATGAAAAGGGCAAGAAACAAGTTAACAACCTCATGTAGATTTTTCTGCTCTCTTTCCTTTTGTTTCTTCATCATCACCCGTGCTACACTTAGTGGTAATCTCTGCTTCTTTGAAGGCTATGCCATGGGAAAGTGCACACAAATTACAAAGTTTCGAATGCAGTATGATCAGAGCTGAATTTATGTCAAAAATATGAAATAAGGCATATATAGTACCTTTCCACCAAGAGAAACTACCTTCCTGTTTTCCAACTCCTTCCTCTCTTTCCATGTCATATGCGAGGAGCCTGAAATGAAATGACCTCTAATAAGTAAACAAGAATACTGAAAAGCTACCACGGATATAATATGATTGACAGTAGGCTACAGCCCACAAGACAATGCTAACAACTAAATAATTGGTTCCTTCATAGACTAGAGCCAGAACCAACCCGGATTTGAGTTGGAACTAGGTAATGTACCATGAAATACCGACATTTCCACTTCAATTCAGTAGCCATAATCTGCAGGATTTAAACACTAAACAAGCTATATATTTTACAACTTTAAGCAAGTCCATATAGTTACAACTGCCCGTCAGCTACGAAAAAAGGCAAGTTTTTTACAATGAATTATAGGAAATACAAAATTTTAACCAAGTGCCCTAACACCCAAGTAAAGTAGACACCAAAACCATATTTAGCTTACTGATTTCACTAAGATTTTGCAGTCATTGTCACTTTCATAGAATATCAACAAGCTGTACAAACAAAATCATCAGATGCCTTGTTAAAATAAAAAAGAGAACTAACTTCTATCTCTCTTATTTTTTAATTTTTCACTTTTGATACTTGTAGGAATATCATTACATACATAGGACTTCCAAAAAAGAATTAGGAGCCTAATAGCCAGAACATGTTCCAACTTCTTGTGTATAATTATTGAATGGTCGAGTTGGTTGCAATCATCCGAGAGATAGTTATGAAAGGCTCAAGGTGCGCTAAGGCACCAAAGTTTCTCAGAGCCTAAGTACAAGGTGCAACATAAGGCATGAGCCTGATTGAAGTAAGGCGCATGTGTAATAGAAAAGAGATATTTAATAGAAGTACGGAAAAAGATGCGCATAAATCTTATCATTATGCGTATACAACAACAACAACAACCAAGCCTTTTCCAAATTACTTATCAATATGCATGTGCATTAACTAAATCAAATGCCATTATGATTGTCCAATCATAAAAAGCATTAGTCATCTAATTTTAAACATACATTACATTAGGATGAAAATTAAAATCAAGCACAGGATGCATTTTAATTTTTATGTAGGTTTTAAATATGCTCATGTATTTTGTCAAAGATGCAAAAGAATAAACAATATGATCCATCAGTAAATTTAGAATGTAAAAATTTAGGTTCGTTTAAAGATACAAAGAAAATTCTGCCAGGAAAAAAGAAGAAGAAAGATACAAATAAAACAATTTGAACAAATGATTAAAAAATAAAAGGCGCATTTTATTTTAAAGCTTGGAGCCTTGCTAAAAAGCATGAACCTGATGAGGGTTGCATTCCTCATTTGAACGCCTTCTTATATAATCTTACTTATCCAAAAATAAAAAAATAAAAAGCATGAGCCGGATGGCTTTATGTAAGTCTGGCTCACGTAATGCTGATGAATATGAGGCGCACCTTTAACAACTATGAGACTTCAAGGTAATGCTGATAATATGACCTTGGGGTGTGTTTACTAATTGCCTGTCAACCTTGACAACGAGGTATCTTTCTTTATTTCTCTCCTAGCCTCTTGGGGTGTAAGAAGTATTTTTCATGCATATTAAGGAATATCTTATCTTCCCTATCAATTTTAGAAGGGTGCGCTTAGATGCATGGTCATTAAAATCGTGATCCGGATCTTATGATCCTATGATTTTACGAACCAAAAGTATTGCATTCGTTCCGATCCCACAAAAATCCTATGGCAGAATCCATATGCAATCTCTATATGATCACAAGAATCGTGGAATCGATTTGACACTTGATTATACCGATCCTATCATAGTCATAAAATGTTACTCTTTTGTTCCTTATTGATAAATTAGGATCCGAGATCCAAAAAATATTATGAAACAAAGGTCAAGACCAACAATGTCCTATATATAACAATTTTTTTATTTTTCATTTTTTTTCTCATTTCTACTCCACCATGAATCTTCAAGTTTGCTTTTAACTAGTTACCTATTTAAACAACATATTTAGGCGACCTCATTACAATTTTTTTAATGAGTATGAATTCAACATTGTTGCCTTTCCTTTTCCTTTTCATTTTTTCTTGTGGTTAGCTATTTTGATTTGGTACTGTAATTCTTCGATTCCTCACGGCTGGGTATATAAATGAGAAGGTGAACAAAGTTTTGCTTTAAAGACAATCCGACAACACGATGAGTTCAATTTCCATCTCTTTCTTCTCTAAAGCTTAAGTTTGCTTCAAAAAATAGATCTTTTATTTACATAAATCTCTAGTGTTTAATTTGTCTTTCTTCCCCAACTCTATGTTCTAGGCTTTCTTACACTATCGGTATCCTTGGACATGTAGCATGAGTATTTTAAACCAGCATTTTTTTTTTTCCATATATAAGTTAAAGATTTTCATATGAATGTAGGATCACAAAATGATAACTTACGATGCTTCTTTTTTTATAAGTAAATATTCATTACAAAGTACTCAAAAGAATGACTTATGATTTTATATATATATATATATATTTTAAATCTAACATTGAGGTGATATCATGGTTAGTTCTATATAAATTAAACAATTCCCATACTAATAATGTGTTTGTGTGTCCAAAACTATAAGGGAGAGATTTCGGAGGTCTCTGTGTTCCAAATACATGTCTTAATAATATATATATATACACACATACACACGCACATTTTTATGAGTTTTAGATTCTTGAATATATTAGAAGTATAATTTAATATGCAAATAGATTTAGGAATTAGCTTTCTCATTTTGTGGGATAAAAAAACCTCTTATTTTGTAGAATCTTATGATTTTCGACCCCATCCTAAAGAGTAAAGACCCCAAATCAATCCAACATAGGATCTCGATCTTGATAACCTTGCTTAGGTGATCCCTAGGCATGCTTTTAAGATTCACGTCACTCTAGAATTTTGGTCACAAAAGGATACAAAAAATACATTAAACAGAAAAGAAAATAAAAAAAGTACTTTATTTTTCTGAAAACACAATTTATTTTCATTTTTATTTTTGTTAAGAAAAAAAAAAGAAAAAAGACTCAGATTTCAACATGTTCTTTGGTAGAGGTGTTTAATTTTACTTTCCAATATAGCTCAACAAACTAGGACAGAGATTGTAGTGAGTTTTCGGCTGCTATTTAAGTATTTAACTAACATCATCTCAGTAAACCAACTTCACTTTTTGGCACCAAAGTTTGATTTGCAATTGGTTCCTGATCTTACACATAAAAAAGGCTTTAGGAGAAATCCTCAAAAGATTTATTTAATGCACAAAATAGTTTATGGAATTATCTTTCTCATTTTGTAGAATCTTACGATTCTCGATCAGATCTTGAGGACCCCAAATAGATCTAACATAAGAATCCAATTTCAATAACCTTACTTAGGTGCCTAAGAAATTTGAGTTTTATGTGGAATAGCTTAACAAACAAGGACCAAGATTGTTGTGAGTTTTTGGTTGCTTTTTAAGTACACCATCTTAGTAAAACCTACTTAACTTTTTCGTATCAAAGTTTGGTATGCAACTGGTTCGTGATCTTACACATATGAAAGGCTTCAGGAGAAAAACCTCAAAACTACATTAAGATGAACTACTGAAGGTTTCATTAATAATTGTTGACAGTCAGAATTGCCCCAGCCACAAACCAACATTAGCAGAATTTTCTTTTCCACACATTTCAGTCTAGCATAATATTGCGATAAGACTCTCACCTAATCATAATTCCTGAAGTTCAAAACAGAATATTCAAGGAAGGATGAAAACTAAGGAAGGATGAAAACTAAGTGAAAAGAAGCCAGTTTGAGGGAGGTGGTCAGAGACACTTTCTGGGCCAGTCATGCCTAAGGTAAGTTATTCGATTCAACCATGTGAGGTTGTAATGAAACTTCATAAGAACCAATGACAAAGAAAACCTTACAAATATAAGAGTAAACCAAGGAGGTATCTAGGTAGCAGGACAAAAACCAGAAACACAACAAAAGGATTCCAAGAACCTAACACCATTTCACTCCAAATGCAAGAAAAAAATTCCCTGTAAGGACTCCAAATGCAAGTTTATGGATGCCAATTAGAAGATAATCTCACCCATGAAACACTTCTACAACAGTTGTTATAAATAAGCTGTTAGTTGAGCAAGCCATAGAATTCAATTTCCATTAATTTTTACTACAAACACATTACATTAGTTAAAAAGTATTTTTTTATTATGAAGGAAAAGAGAGGCACCACAATACAGATAATTTTTTTAGTTAAAAACAGGTAATGTCTTATCAAAAAAAAAAAGAAGTTAAAAAAATATAATGTAAAAGAACAGGTCATGTTGCAATACTTGTATTCACGTATTAAGTCACTCCTAAGTTTTTTAGCGTTCTTTCTTTCAATGAGAAAAAATTGATGAAGAAAAGGGGTTTTTCTCAACCCTCTGGCTAGAGAATATTATAATTTTACTCATAACCCAATTGATATCGTACAAATGGCCAGCTCTATGATCATGCACTGGTTAACATAGTGACATCTTGCAAGTGTAAGCTGCCACACTGCGAGGTTAGGAATATTGGCATGTTGACAACCAAATTTTCACACTGACAACCTTCCAAGTGAAATTTTCACAGTGGCATCACAAAAATAGAGAAGTTACAAGATTTCAGTTCATCACAATTCCACAATTTTTTATTGATGTTTGTGTTTTATATAATTCTAAGAAAGGAAACCAATTTTTGAATCAACAGACTATCTCAGTAATATATACTGGCTAAAAATGAATCATTCATGTATTTAGAAATTTATCTTAAAGATCATTCTTTCAGTAGATAGTAGATGTCTTTCCACTGTATATACATCAAGGAATAGGTTTCCACTAGTGGTTTCCGTATTACAAGAAAATGTGAAGTGGTATAGGTTTTTCTAGCTACATTAGTCTTATGTCATTTTTACATGCAAAAAGCTTCATGAAAACAAATAAGCATAAAAGTGGCAAATTTAAGCTTTACTAAGAATGTAGCTTCTCTATGGTAATCCATTTGCATTCCGCCCATATATACTCTTCAGTCTTTTCAAATGCATGATCAGATAGAGACAAAAAGTAGAAAAGGACACCCCATAAGAAAGAAAAATGCCCGAAAGATATAAGTAGCTTCCTCTCGTTCCTTATAAGTATTAAACCATGTGACACTATCACATTTATAAGAATCAAAATGACTAAAGAACGTAGTTCACACTGAAAATGACAGTCCACGTTGGCTAAGCCATTTAAACAAGAATTTCACATCTTGAACAGTAAAATGTCAGCTAAATTGAATAGTAAAGAAGAAATTATTACCCAAAAACTCGATGTCTTTCAGTATTGACTTTATGTCCATTTTTTGGTCCATCAAATCCATATCACTTGTTGATGATCCTCGTTTAGCGGTATGCATTTTCTTAGACATTTCTGTACTTTTGATTCAACTGCAAAGAGAAAGAACACAAAATGTTCAGGCAATTCATAAAAAAACCCTTCAAGGCCAGCCATATAAAAACCTGGGAGGTGATCTATATATATATAATACTAAGTCGCGCAATAAAATGAGAAAGCATGAACAAGACTTTGCACAGCTAATATATATATATCAAGGTTGTCAAGATGAGGATCCTACCTAGGATTGATGGGGTCCTTAGGATCATGATCCTACCTAGGATCAATGGGTCCTTAGGTTCAGGATCTTACCTAGGAACAATGGGGGGTCATTAGGATCAGATCCTATCTAGGATCGGTAGGGTCCGTAGGATCAGGATCGTAGAATAGTGAGATTCTACAGTACTAGTAGAAAAATAACTCATACTAACTTTTTAAATAGGAATATCTTTAAAATAATTAGAGAATAGGGCCAAAACACACAAAAAAAACATAAAGAAATACTACTCTAAGCGTGTGTGAGTGTAAAACATACAACAATTCCAATCCACTGATGGAGAGACAAATATAGGTTGTCCTACCCACAAAACAGAAGGCCAAAAAATATATATTGCCAAAAAAGAAATCAAGGAAATTGCAGGAAACAACCGATGGAAAAAATAATAATAAACAGCCCCACTAATCCGATTGTTTTTATGTGAGTGGGGGCTGACGGCAGCCTCCTTTCACATAAAAACAGTCAGACTCGTCCGCTGTTGGCCTCCCTATCATGACTCAATAAGAAATCATTGCAAGATAAAAAAAAAAATAAATAAAATAAAATAAAAATGCCCATGGCTTATATATGAACACATATATACATGGAGACGCATATTACAATGCATTCAACTCAATAAAATCTCTACCCAAAGCAATTGAAAACATGTTCAGTATCAATTCGAACCAAATAGGACTTAAAAAACAACTAAAAATTAAACCCAAAACACCTCTGAATCCGGAAAACCACAACCTACATATATGCACACAACACATACAAACGGAAACTGGCACCTTCAAACTCAACTAAATAATCGCCAATTAATCATTAAATAGAGTTCCATAGAACAAAAAAGAAAAAAACAAAAAAAAAAAAGGTAAGAAAATTGAAACCAAAATCGCAAAAACCTGCAATGTGTATTTATGCCTATACATATCCAGATTGCATGCACACATCATTAAAGATGTGTTACAACCTCCAAACTTCAACTTAAGCCAATGTCCAACACAAATAAGCATCATCAAATCATGCAAAATAAGCAATAATGACAATGGAAAAATCCAAAAAAAAAAAATTAAGAAAAACTGAAATGGGTTAAAATAAGTTTTTTGATACTAGCCTTCCTAATCGAAGCTTTAATCCACTCAAAGTAAGTTTAAAATAGTGTTGCCTCAAGTCTTAGAATGGCGAATTGTCTCAAAATTGTCTTAGAAAGAAAAATTAGGATTTAGGGTTTGTTATGAAGTGGTCGCTGATGAGGAAGCCGTCTCTCAGCTGCTCTCATGTGTTGGTCAAGGACAGTCAGGTATACTGATCTCATGTGTTGGAGAGAAAACTATAGGTGGGGGTAAGGGTTGTTCTCATGAGGTTATAATATCAGTGTATGGTGAGAAAAGAAAAATGAAACTAATCACATGTTTTCAAATGGGCATCATAAATAACGATGTAACGTAGTTGTTGCAGGAATACCGTAAAAGTATAGGACACGATACAGGATGAAACGACATAGAAGAGGCTAGAAACCCTCACGGTACTGTATTGAGCATGTGTGAAACGTGTAGAATTTCTCTTGCATGTATATGACTCCGTCCTTAAGTCCATCTAAGCATATTAGAGGTAGAGCTCTCGCACTAACTATACATTTTTAACCAAACATCATCACATAACAGTCTAGTAATTAGAAGAAATCAGAACCATCACACAACCAATTAAAGCAAACACTAAACACAGGAAAAAAAATAAAAATTCTGTGTTTTTGGTTCAATATAGACGCTGAATAACAGAATTTCCTCTAATTTTTACATTGTAAAAGAGAGATAAATAGAGAAATCAATAAGAAAAGATAAAAAATGGACATACCTTTGAAATTAAAGAGCAAAATGGTGGAAAGTAGATGATGTTCGTGTCTGCTGGAAGTCAATTAAAGCCCTCGCCGGCGCTCACGGGAGGTTGCAGGTGGTCGCCAGAGATAGCTGCTGTTCCTATTCTTCGACTGATTGTACCGAGACAATTTTCTACTGGTTGTTGAGGAAATTTCTCACTACTACACCAAATTTTACAGCAGAATTAGGGTTTTTTTTCAAAAGAGGGAACTAAGCATAGCGATGATCGGAGAGAGAGAGTAATGAAGTTTTTCCTGGGCCACGACAAATTTTACAGCAGAATTGGGTTGCAAAGCATCTCTCTTTCTTCTGTTTTTTTCTTCTTTTTTTTTTTTTTTTTTTTTTTTTTTTTTTTTTTCTGGGTTAGCCCAAGCTTTAACAAGCCCAGCCCTTCATGTTAGACATGTCAATGAATCATATTTCGATCTAAATTTGAACCGAAATCTAATAACTTCTATATGAACAAGTGGGTGTGTGAGTATTTCAAAAAAAAAAAAAAAATCAAATATAGATTAAATATTTAATATAATAATTCGTTGATTTTTCAAATTCAATAATATGTTGAATTAACAAATCAAATACGTATTATCAATTCGATTCATTAATAACCTGACCCAATTCATTATAGAATGTGATATATGTATATATTGTCTTTTATTTAATTGATATGCAATTGGAAAAAATTAATCAAAAAGGTTGTTTAGATAGTGTTTTATCATATGTGATATTTGAACTCTTAATTATTTCAGTTTTTCCTCAATTGCTTTAAATCTTACTTCCTCCAATTGATTTTTTTTGCTATTTATTTTTTTTCCTTTAATTAAGAATCAAATATCGAACTTTTCTTCTATTTTCTTTATATTTTTTGGTCTTCCTCTCAACCCTAAAGCAAGATTTATTATTACTAATATAAATACCTTTTGACAAGTATTATTATTAAGGCAACAAAGGAAAAGAGGAAGTATAATTTATCAATCAATTTGCAGTACCCAAATTTCCATGGAATAAAATTAAAACGCTCTCCGATTGTTTTTTAGTAAAATATTTTCTTCGGAAAAGATTTTTCTTTTTCAGGTAAAATATTTTTTTGTTTTTACTTTTTTGGTATTTGACAAAGATCTAGGTTGAAGTTAAGGTCAGGGCCGGCCCTGAGATTCCAAATATTTTGAGACGCCCTTGGCGAACTTTCAAATGTGAGGCCCTTAAGTTTCACACGTGCGAAAAAAAATTATAAGTGTGCGAAATTTTCACACGATGTTTTCAAATTCTATAGCTAATATAATTGTGCGCCTGTGCATTATGCATAAGACAACTAACTAATAACTATAAATTTATCACCACCAACAAATAATTGTGCGTCTGTACAGTGTGCATAAGACAACTAACTAATAACTAGACCTGTCAACGGGTTGGATTCGGACCGGATCATGGTCAATCCGATCTGAATCCGATAAGCAAAATAACTGATCCGGTCCGATCCGATAATCCGACGGATCCTTTCCTAATCAATCCATATCCGATATTAACGGTATCGGATGTCCGATCCGATTAATCCGATCCGATTATATATCATACAAATGCAATATTTTGAAAAAATACAAATCAAACAAAACGATCCAAATATACCAAATATCAGCATGTATTTGATCTATGAAATTCATCTGTGAAGATCATTCCACTGCTGAAAATATGTTTAATTTGGTAAAACAAATAGAATCAAAGTTAGGGTATTAAAAGAGAGGGAAACAGTTTTTGTAATACATACCAAAAATCACCAAAAAGAGATAAAAATGAAAGAGCGAATGAGTGGGAAGAATAAATTGAAAAGTGAAAGTTATATTCTGAAAAAACATATAAGAAAGAAAATTAGGGCTGGATAGGAGAAAAGGAATAATACAAGAAAAGTGAGAGAAATAAGTAACAAAAAAAAAAAATTACTTCCCAAGCATTCCAACCATGGTTTCGGCAATCCATTGCTGGCTTGCCCTTCCTGTTCCACTTCCAGCAGTCCATCCGCAGCCTCCCCAATTCTCCTTCACTTTTCGCCTCCTTCAGTTTTCATTGTGCCCTAAAGTAGGTGATATACAACATATATATATTGGGAGAATTCTATTATGTGGGTAAGCACATCATTATAAGTTACAACTTACAACTAAACAAATCCAACGGTCATATCTGATTTATATATATATATATATATATATAAGTATAATTATATATAATTTTAATTGGATCGGATTATTAGCGGATCGGATCGCCCTAATCCATATCCGTTTTGTTAAGTTAACGGGTTATTGGATTCGGATCATAATCGGATTATCGGATTTTTTATTCAATCCATATCCGGTTAATCGGATCGGATTCGGATCAAAATCCGATCCATTGACAGGTCTACTAATAACTATAAATCTATCACCACTAATAAATAATTGCGCGCCTGTGCAGTGTGCTCAAGACAACTAACTAATAACTATAAATTTTTATTACCATCAATAAATAATTGTGCGCCTGTGCAGTTTGCATAAGATAACTAACTAATAACTATAAATCTATCATCACTAATAAATAATTGTGCGCCTGTGCAGTTTGCATAAGACAACTAAATAATAACTATAAATCTATCATCACCAATAAATAATTGTGCGCATGTGCAGTGTGCATAAGATAGCTAACTAATAACAATAAATCTATCAATTAAAGAGGGCGAAATTTTCACACGCACAAAATAAAAAATGAAGAGAACAGTTTACTAGAGAACAGAAAGCTGCAGCTTCTTTTACATTCATTGTTTATATAGCTACTAAAATTTGATGATTACAGATGACAAAAATATGTGGAGATGAGATGACTATATATATTATAGGAGGCTGAACTTGTAGTACCGAAGAAGTAGTGGGACTTTTAGGTTATATGTGGCATCCACTATCATATATAGTTTTGCCTTTCACTCTTTGTATTAACTACACTACACCACGCGTTTGTTTTTTTTTTGGGAGCCAATTACCCCTTTCTTGATTTCAGGATGAGGAATCAACTTTAGTAGCAGTGATTGGTTGATCATTGCTACAGAATACCTGTGCAAATTAATAGAAAAACCATAAACTTTTGTTTTGTTAAAGCCTGCTCTTGATTTCCATGTGTTTGTACATTCTGATGGCAAGTGCTTTGACAGTATTATTAACTGAAATTCTAGCTGAGCCAACTTCAAATAACATCAATAACGGTGGTATGTATCTTCATATAAAAATAAAATAGAAAAAAAAACCTTAATTTGGCACTTTTAAGTATGAGCATAATTTAGAGATCGAAAAAGTTATTTATTACCTCAAAGGCTCAACCCAGTAGGAGGGATCCTTAATTTTCGTAGGATTGAATGTGAAAATGCAAAAAATTATGAGGAAAAGGGGTATGGTTGCTGCTGTTGTGAGATTGGACTGGAATTAGGGAGAGGAAAAAAAAAAAAAAAAGTACCCGCCATAGATTATGGACTCGATCGCCATGAAAGACACATGTAGAAAGGCACACATTTATTAAAATACTAAGAGAACCATAATATATTCATTCAGCTTTTGATAACCATCACACACAGTGACACACACACACAAAAAACCCCGAATCAAACGAACCAAAGTTAGAAACAAATCAAATGATGAGATGAACGAAAGAAAGAAACATATACAAAAGATCGATTCACGTAAAAGGAGAGAGAAGAGAGAGAGAGATAGAGGTTGAACATACCTTGTCACCTGAGGCGAGCCCTGCGGAGTGTCGAAGCAGATTGTGTAGTCTGAAATTGCCCTAACTTAAATTTTTTTTTTCCATCCCCTATAAGCCTCAAAAGTTGGCGCCTCTAAAATTTGAGGCCCAAGGAGACCGCATTGGGCCAGGGCCGGCCCTGGTTAAGGTCGAGTCTAAAATAAACTGATGAGTAAAATTATTTTTTTATTAGATTTTAATATTTTTTTTTCATAAATATTTCACGACAACCAAACATTAAAAAATAAAAAATATATATATTTTGTAAAAAATATTTTACATCCAAATAAATCGAGTTTATAAGTATTTTAATATATTATACAATCACATGCGCATACTCAACATTTGAACAACTAACAAATGAATATCAATGAAAAATAAAAGGTAAATACATCTACTAATCAAAAGATACAAATTAACCCTACCAAAATAAAAATAAAAATAAAAATTTTAATTGCCAACCAAAGAGCTTCGAAAAAATTGAGAAAGAAACAGATACTGATTCCTCTTTATAATTCGTCAGAACCGAGCATTTATTTGGTGAATTTTTTAAGTAACATTTATCTTGAAGTGCTACCCATGCTCACATTGGGCTTAATAGAAGTCACTCGAAAAGAAATATGTCATCCCTACTTTCAAAAGATGAACCACCACCGTGAACATCTGTGGAGTGGTGAAGAGATAATTTGTAACCGATTTGTTGAGCATATATATATTTTTTCCTAGTTCAAAAAAAAAAAAAAAAAAAATGCTCGCAGGTGGTGAAATTATAAGTTTGAATAATTGTATGGTTGTTGTCCGATAAATGAAAATAAATTTATAAAATAAATAAATAGTTTAAAAATAAAAACATTTTAAATTCATAAGACTAAATGCTTCAATTATTATTATTATTTTTACAAGACAAGAAGTGTTAGAAGTTAAATTAGTAGATGCAGATAGTTGAAACCTGATACTCTAAAATTTACCAAAAATACTAACGAATTATCGAACAATCGAAGCATCTGCAACTCCTTCAAGTAAATTTGTTTGCAAGTACCAACACGACCATTTAAAATTTTCACAAAATTGTGGGACTTGTAATAATTTGGTGCACTGACAAATCAATTATGTTTCTACTACAAGTGAAAAAGAAAAAAAAACGGCCCAAGGGTTTTGATTTTACTTTGTCAGGAAGTAGGCTCACAGTAGTATACACAGACTATATTTTAAAACACAGCTCAATCAACAGGTTAATGGCCTAGCAGTGTGTGACGTCAAATTCTTTTGCACCCAACTGGTGTAATAGGAAAATCCATACACCTATATGTAAGCATAGTGGAATCACATTTCTTTATTCTTTTAGATAACTTGCTTTTAACATTCTGTCATCTACACTAATCATGAGAAATGAATCACAAATATCTAGTTGAAAATTGCTTAATTAAACCATAATTTTTTACTATTTTGACCTAGAAAGATCTCTTAATTTTAAAATTTCCAGAAAATAAGGGAAGTGAAATATGGTAACACAAGTCCTTCCTAATTATGTTAGTTAAAAAAAAATTCTATAAAATGAAGAGAAAAATTAGAAAACAGTTGAATTCAAAATCTGAGTTAAAAATTTTATTATTCAGATTTCAAAAAATATGTCATATATTCAAAAAAAATTAAGGACCGCACTTTCAATCAAAGCACAAAAAGGGATATATGAAGGGTTCTGTCATTACAAGATCGAAAAAGGGTCAAATAACGAGAATTTTATATGGTCAACAAAAATTCATTGTTATGTTTGGAAGCACCAAAACGGAACTTTGGATTTTGGAATCGGAAAAATTTCAAACATTGATTCCGTGTCACCAACTATATACATAGTTCTTGTAAGCCTCAGCAGATCCACCAAAACAGAGAAGAAGAAGAAGACAGGAAAGTATGAAGAATAGAAGCTCCAAACCTTTACTTCTCTGTTCCATCTCTTTTGAATTTGTGAAACTTGTGAGTGTCAGGATTTGCCTCTTCAGAAGAATAAAGACAATGGAATAATAAATACTGCATGGATGACAAGTTTAGAACAATATTTAATAAAGTTCAAAGTACATTATTTGGTGTAACATGGTTTCATCCCTCTGTTTCTAATCACACTTCTTTTTTGAAATTTATCTTCAATTCTTATTAATTTCTTTTTTAAAAAAAACATAATTTAAGTGAGAGGAAGACTAAACCAACTCATTCATGTGATTTTTTCGTCATTGAAACATTAATAATATCTTGGAGCTTGAATAATTGTCTGATTCATACTAAAGGAAAAAGGAACAGACCCTGATTACTCAAATTTCAAAAGAATAAAAATTAAAACATTATAAATATATCAATATATTATACAATCACACACACTCAACATTCCAACAGCACACAAATGAATATAAATTAAATATAAAAGGTAAATACCTATACTCATCAAAAGCTACAAATTAACCCTACCAAAATCAAAAATCCATTTAATTGCCAACCAAAGTGCTTCAAAAACACTGACAAAGAAACAGACCCTGATTCCACTTTATCATCACTACTCTCCTCATGAGGATTATTGAAATTTGAAGGAACTACGGTATCCGGTGCGTTTTCGTCGTCGCCGGCTACGGCATTCGCCGGACCTGGGGCTTCATCCGGTGGATCTTTTAAACTCGCGGGCAATCCTTGCCCGTAGGTCACGTTTATCTTGAAGTGTTGCCCATTGCGACATTGGTCGCCGTCGTAATCACCCGAAAAGAAATATGTCATCCCTACTTTCAAGAGAGGAACCGCCACCGTCCCTGGCTGGGGAGTGGTGGAGGAGGGATCTGCAGCCGACCACTCGGTTGTATCGTTTTCTAGAGCATTGTCGTAATCACAACGTTTGTAGGTGGTGAAATTATATGATTGAACAACCGAATGGTTACTGTCTGTGTTGAAAACTGCATTATCATCACAATATATACATAAATTAATCAATGTCTCTTTAGTTAAATATTGATCCAAGTTCGAGATAAATAACCAAAAATAAATTTTTAAAAATGAATAATTTTAAAATAGAAACATTTCAAATTCATAAATTCACAAGAATAACTACTTTACAAATAAGTAAACATGAACTTGCATATTTTTTCACAAAATTGTGGCACTTGTAATAGTTTGGTGACTTGGTCCACCGACAAAACCAATTACTATGTTTTTCCACCAGAGAAGAAAAAAAGTACCAAGGGTTTTGATTATACTTTGTCAGTCAGTAGTAACACATGCTCACAGCAGTGGAGATAGAGACCATATTATAAAACACAGCTCACCATTTTCTCTGGAAACTTTGCAGTGTGTATATCCCACTAAAATAGATATTAGGTGACCCACGTCATGTTAATAATATATTTATCCAATTAAATTTTTTCCCTTTTAAGCTAACAAAATTTTGAGTTTGCCCCCACAATATTATCCTCTACAATATTTTTTATTTTGTTAAAAGTTGTCCCCTATATCATATGTTTTTGAATCCGTCCCTAATTATAGTTGAATGAGTATATCAATATCGTGACACGGATAAGACGCAACCAATAGCTACTCTTCCCATTGAAACTTAAGTTAAAAATAATATTGTTTAATTGTTTGTAATAGGAAAAGCCATGAACCTGTCGGTAAGCATAGTGGAATCACTTTTCTTTATTCGTTTTAGTTAACTTGTTTTTTACAAGTCTCATCTACACTAATCATAAGAAAAAGATCTAATTGAAAAGTGTTAAATTAAACCATATTTTTACTATTATGTGACCTCCAAGCTATAAAGATTTCTAAATTCTAAAATTTCCAGAAAATATGGAAAGTGAAATATGGTACCACAAGTCCTTTTCCTAATTTCCATTTACAGTCTACTGTATTTACAATCATAGTTTTCAGTTTTGTCCAATTTCCCAAAATTGAAGAGAATTTAAAATTGAAGACAAAAGATTCAGATCAAAATTGGGAATTTTATGAAAATATTGTTGTATTAGTTTAAAATTTTCTGTTAGATGAAGAGAAAATTAGAAAAACAGTTGATTTCAAATTTTGACTAAATTACAAAAGTTTTGAGCATTCAGATTTCAGAAAATATGCCATGTGTTCAAGAAAATTAAGGACCACACACTTGAAGGCACAAAAAGTGATACAATTAAGAGAAAAAAAAAAGAAGAAAAAAAATCAATTTTCTTAAATGGGTTGCAAGAATTTTCTTTAGTCGATAGAAATTCACTAAAATTTCTTACAATTCAAGCTATCTATTAAATGAAGGGAAAAATTAGAAAAACAGTTGAATTCAAAATCAAACTAAATCATTAAAGTTTTAAATATTCAGAATTCAGTAAATATACAATCTATTCAAAACTAAGGACCACACACTTTAAGGCACAGCATTGATATATTTAAGAAAACTATATATCAAAAAAAAATTATAGTCAAAGGAAATTCACTAAAATTTCTTATAATTCAAGCATATAAGCAGTAAGCACTAGTTATCCAAGAAGAAACAAGATAAGCAAAAAGCAATCTAGAGAGAGAGCACTATATATATAAAAATATATATGTGTGTGTGTGTGTATATGTACCAGTATAACAAGTATATATGATGATGGTTTTGAAGTCTTACTGAGGAAATCTCCAAGGCTGAAGTTCTTGCCAGTAGCCCATTTCTGGTAGTTGACAGTTGGCTTCATTTGATTGTCATACCAACCCAAGGAGTCACCAACTGTGTAGTTCTTGTAAGCCTCAACAGATCCACCAAAACAGAGAAGAAGAAGAAGAAGACACGACTGTGTGAAGAATAGAAGCTCAGAACCTTTGCTTCTCTGTTCCATCTCTGTTGTTGGGGTTTGTGAAACTAGTGGATGTCAAAGATTTGCCTCCTCTTCACAACAATAAAGGGAATGAAATTAAAGTACTGCATGACAACTTTCTTTTACTTCTATACCCTTTCTTTTCCCCATAATAACCACAATGGTGGGTGTCTCTATAGTCTTTTGTTTTACTCACATGTTCTTGAATATATATTACCTGCAATGATAAATTACAATTAGATCCCCTCTAGTTAGGGTTTATTACACTCTTTTTTTAAAAAAAATTTATTATAATTATCTGCTTTCTAGTTAAATGTGTGTAACAAAACGATCCTGTCGGCCAATTGCTCTAACAGCTAGAGATTATCAACGCTGATGTGGTAATTTTTTTTAAAAAATTTCTATGTAGATGCTTTTGTCTAATGCTTGTTATGCAAAAAGACAATTATACTCCAAATTTAAAGAGAATGTTCGTCATGTGAAGGTAAAACATAACCATTTCTCACTGTTAATGAAACTGATGGCAGGTGTCATTTTGTTATACATACTCAACTAGAATGGAAGTAACTGTAATAATATAAAATATATAGGAAATAAGTGTAATAAACACTTGTTACAACGTTAACAGTCTCCGTTAATAAAATTGGTGTCATTTTGTTATACACATGTAATTAAAAGGGTTGTAATTGTAATAATCTAAAATATATGAAAAATAAGTATAATAAATCCTAATTAGAGAAGATATAAGTATAAATTACTCAATATTAAATTTGGCTGTCGCAAGTTTAGAACAATACTTGATAAAGTTTTAAAGTACTTTATTTGGTGTGGCATTTGAAAATGGTTTGTTTGTTGAATTATGAGGATCATCATTCAATTATATAATGGTCTCTATTTTGTTCTACTCATAGGTTCTTGAATAGATATATATATCAATGCAATAAAATTTGCTGTTACAAGTTTAGAACAATAGTTGATGAAGTTTAGTTGGTGTAGCATTTGAAAATGGTTGGTGTATTGAATTATGAAGATCTCATTCAAAATTATTTATTTGATTGAAACAAGAAGAAGGTGAAAGACATACACACATATATAGTATACATATATATATATATATATATATATATAATTGCTTGTATGGTGGAATCTGAGCACACCATATTGTAGGTAGGAGACTAATGTGGAACAGGTGGATAGTGGGGTCCCGAATTATGTGTGTATGACTACTTAGTAATTTCATAAAGAGACAATCAATTAGGTTCAGCTTGGCAAGTAGAGAGAAGAGTGTGCACTTGGTTGATCTTAACTTTGGACCCACTTCCAAATAGTAGCTACAAAAATCAATCAAAATCATTTTAAACTAATTTGTTGTACATTAATGTTATCTTGCCGATTTTTATTTTTTATTTATTTATTTTTTATTTTTTTTGATATTGTGATAAAAAGATCAAACTTCCAAGAAGAAATTGCTACCAATCTTTTATATATAATGACAACAATTATATATAAATATATACCCTATTTCTCTTTCTCATAAGTTGGATGGTCTATGTCAATAAATTTTATATTTTTTAATGACTCATCTTTCATTTCATGTTATCTTGGTTGTATACATGTGTAACACACTTATTTCAAAACAATTATTTTGACCAAATAATTAATTGAGAGCAACATAATTAATCGAGGACCGAAATAATAATGTTGCATTCTTTACTTGTTGTATTGCAACATCAATTTAGTTGTGTTGCATTTCTAAAATAATTTCCTTCAAGAATTAATGAGTAATATTAAAAGATACGGTAGGTTAAATGGTTCATTTCACTTTTTATAAATTAAAAAAAATCATTTTAATTCAATGATAAAATATATAAAATTTATTATCCTTTTCACGAGAAAACTCTTTTGATAGTATTATTCATAAAAAAATAATATATCCTCTGAATTCGAATAATACCAATAAAATATTATGTTAGTAAAAATATGAGCCTCATATAATATCACCCCAACATCACGTGATAGAACCATACTCCACTCTCACATGTATCATTTTTATTTATATAAGTGTGTTAGTGGAAAATAAAAAAATAAAAATAAAAATAAAAATAATAATTATAATTGTGTTGCATTCGGTACGATAATAAGAGTTCCGGCACTAAAGTACTTAAAATTGGTTGATGAGTCGACATGCAGTAGTTATTTGGGTGTGAGCAATGCACAGGCATGTCTTTTTTAGTATTTATATGTTATCTTCAAGAGAATGACATAAAGTTTGTGTCGGTGCTATATGTATATGAGATATGTATATATTTATATATACAGATCTGTATATGCATCATGTGAAATGATAGCTGGAAGATTGCTTTTGTACCTTATACACGTGGGGTGTTGTGAAAGATAATGACACGCGTCTCACCAACAAAAAAAAAAAACATGTTAGGTTGTGTGGAGTTCAATTCAACCGCAGAAAATCACATGGATCATGTATGAACGAAGAAGGTGAAGTGAGGTTGATTCAGAGAGAAGGTTGAAGATTGCAATCCCAAAACTCTTCTTATCCAGTGAAAATAAAAATATTGATAAATTAGATTATTAATACAAAAACATTTTTCAAGAATTGCATTAATCTTTTCTAGCTTTATAATCTTCACCCAAAAAAACAAATCACATGCCAATGTTATGATCATTATGCCATTTATAGTCGCACATTGTAATGTCAAGTCTTAATTGTAACATGATGAATATGTCCGATGTTGAATCCATTTTATTGATTATAGTGTTTTTTTTATTAATTTGGATCGAACTGAATATGGGAGGGTGGAGATTTCCTTGAAACATGGTGAGTTTTACATATTGTTAGATCAGAGTACAAAAAGTAGTTAAGGTTTTTTTTTTTTTTTTTTAAATCATAATTGACAATCTTTAATGGTATGATTTGGTAGATTTATTTATTTATTTTGTTGGAATGATAAGTGCTAAACTCTTCGAGGTTCAAATTTGATGAATAGTGAAAAAAAATAAAAATAGAACTAGAAAATTGGTTGCAACTTTTTACTTGTGACTGAGAACACTTACCAACTGTACTTGTGGTAAAGAGTGTTGTGAACAAGGTGGCTTTTGTAAGAGTCCAAAACCAGGGAAGTGAAAACATATCTTCAACAAAGCCTGTGACAATGGAAGTTTTATATATCTTACCAAGATAAGCACGCCTTGATTATCAGTTTCTTGGAATAAGAGACCAATTAGTCCAAATGCATGGAACAACGGAAATCTGATTGAACGGTATAACCTTTTCATCTTCAAAGAGAATGGTCAAGGGATTTGACCTCGGGTATGTATTTATTGTCATGAAAAAAATAAATATATGGTTGTATATGTCATGACTCAAAGGTTCGCAGTCGTGTTTGTTTGAGCCCGGGTATGTGTTTATTGAATATGGTTCGCAGTCACGACATCAGTTGCAGTCGTAGTATAATAAAATTGGACAAACATCCGAATAAACCGTCAATTCAAAGGTGTGCATGTTAGGATATGTGTGCCCTAGCATAGCAAATTCTAATTTTGGATTATAAAAGTCATGGTTTCTTGTCTGGATATTATTATTAAAGCATTATACAATTGGTGAATGGAATGTATTATTTTTCGATTCTTTATGGAATTGATGGTGTCCGCTTGATTACAAAATATATTTATATATGTATGTAATGGCAATTAATACTATGATATAAATTAGTAATCATAAATGGTTTAAAGTCGGTAATTATGGATGGACATTTAATTAGTTAAGACTTAAACCGAGTCAACGATAGATTGAGATATATTGTGAAAGCTGTCGTATGCAATTGCTCTCTATCACAGTCATGGCTTTTGACTCTCAAGCATGAGAGAAGTATAAACTCTTTTATTAATTAATAATTACTTTGATTTGTTCGGCAGATACCTCGGGATCCTTAGATCGACACTTTGGGTAGTTATGTAATTAATAATTAGAGATCTATATTCTCAATATTTGCATCAGTGCTATTTGTATTTATTTTGTTTTGATTATGGTTGATCACAAATTAAATTCGAAGGCCTTCGTATATTTTAGACAAATGTTATATATATATATTTATTTAATAAATTATTATTATTTTTTGTCAAATAAATATTTTATTGTGATCGAGCCGGAAATAATCAAAGGTAACAAAATAATTATACTAATTATGTTGTCGGATTGATGACTTTAATTATCCGATAAATAATTAAGCATAGAGGGGTCAAAGTGCAACATTGACTTAGAGGTTATTTACTATTTAATTGGAATGCAATTAATTTCTTTTAGTGGAGTAGAAATTAATTTATGAATTAATTGAATTGGGTCCATGGTTTAATGGACCGGACCAATTATTAATTTATAAGAGCCAAGAAAATAGTAAGCCCAAAAGGATTCTCACCAATAGCCCAAGTTGATATTGGAGTCATGTTAGGATTGAGAAAGTTGAATTAGAGATGGAGAATGATTTATTGTTTCCTTATTCTTATTTTTATTTTGCCTATATATACATGAGTTCATGTATATTTTAGGTGTGACTTGGAGAATAAGAAAAAGGAATACACTTTCTCTCTCTAGATTTTAGGGTTTTGTTTCTCTTCTAAAGGAGGCTACCACCAGCCTAGATTCCAAGGTCATTCATCAAGGCATATTGGTGATTCCTAAAGGGAAGATAATAATCAAAAAGAAGGAGAAAGGATCTTGCTAAAGGGATCTACAATAAGTGAGAACATTCACTTTAGAGGAAAGTTCAAAAGGTTTACTCAGACCTTTGATGTAAGTATTCAATCTGTTTATTGAATTAGGCATCATTTTTTTTATTTATCTTTGCATAAAACTTGTCTCTATGTGATGAATCAAGATCCATGATTGCAAATCCCTCAAAAAGTTTTAAAAACTTGCACGTTTCCCAACAGTGGTATCAGAGCACATGGTTTGATTCATTACTAGAGAACATGTGTTTATAAAAATTATATTCATGGATCCAAATTATAGATACATATATAAAATTATTGATATATGTTGATGTATGATTTATTATGTTGATATATATTAATACAT